AAAGGTATGAGCCATCAATACCTGACTTTATTTTCTGTATTTTAAACATAAAAAGATGACAGGCAAGAGCTCAGAAGGGTATGGGACCTGCTGACCTAATTTCACTCCCTGGGACCTCCAAAAACCAAGTCCCAAAATTTGTACACTCTGACCTCCACTGTGCACTACAGTACATGTGGCATGGGCCATGACTGCACACTAGATAAAAAGTGTAGTGGAAAGTTAAGTTCAAAAGATATAATAGACAGCATTAATTGCCATCTAAGTTTAAAAAAATAACTTTATGAGATTGTTGTCTTACAAAACTATTAGTTAAATTTTATTGGACCACAAAAGCTACTATTTTAAGCAACAAGTATGGACAAATGCTAAAATTTAAAAACCAGAACGAAAGTTTCCTTTGGCTTTTAAATGTATTAAGCATTTCTCTAAAAAGCTATGGTTTTTATGTTTGTTGATCTCTGGTTTTAGGCAAAAAACAGAATCTTCTGCAATACATACAGTCCAAGTCCTAAACAAGTAAGTCCCATCAGATAACACTGTTCAGACTCAAAGTCATGCTTTATCTTTAATCTAGCAAAATTATTCTTGTGAATGCCCTGGTTTCCCTCCCTCATTTCTGCAAGTCCCAAAATGCCTCCCAAAGTGGACTGCACACATGCAGAAGCATAGAGTATAAGGTCCTAATTCTGGATTCCACATCACACCATTAGCCACTAAACACCGACAAAGTGCTCTGATGAAAATGTAAAAAACAATCCCTGACCAGAGTCTCAATTCTGTAAGCACAAGGAAGAAACATCTGAACTGATGGATGGTGACTGATAAAGCCGCAAGCCAGCAAGCACAGAAGAGCTCACGAGAAGATGACTATATTAGGTGTGGAAAGTATGCCGGCATGTTCCAGCTTCTGGCCCGGGAGCCTGAACACCCTTCTCAAAGGTACCTGGCATTTCAAGGTAATAGAAATTATACAAACACATACCCTGCAATGGGGCCAGGGCATGGCTGGCAAGTTTTGCTTTGGTGCTGCCACTGAATGTCACTGAATATACACTGGTTTCACAAATCACTTCTTAAATGTCCCCAGCATGTACCTGGGGTGAGATATGATGGAAAACAAAAGCCCATGCAGAAAAGAGGGACACTCCTGTGATCCTAAAAACAACTTTGGAGGAAACCAGAGCTCACTTTCCAGCCAGGACTCAACTGGCAGTGCACCTGGCACTCAGCCTAACCAGTACCCAGTGTTCTACCCTGACTAACACAATCAATATCGTCCTTTAAACCCACAGTTTTTCCCAGAGACCCAAGTGCCTTCGATTTCCATGAGTCACTGAGCCATTCACCTGTGTGTGGCAGGGCCCCTGATTCTGGGCACAGTTCCAGATAACCATCTCTTGAGGTCAAACCAACTTCACAAGCTCAAAACCTCAAATCCCTTCAATATTTAAACAGTTAAATACTGGGGTACTGAAATCCAGTACAACCTTAAGGGAGGAAAAGACATAGTCGAGTGACTGAGGTCGGAACCTGTCCTATCCTAGGAGATGAATGAATGAATGTGGCTGCATTCTGGACAACAACAGAGCATGCCACTTCTACATGGGAAACTTGTAGGCTGAGACACCATTAATAAATGTATACACCACCAGTTTACTTGGAGTCTGTGCAATCTAAATGCTTATTCCAATAAGGGAGTGATTAACCACGTCTCTCTTTCACAGGTCTACTCCTCCTTTATCCCTAAATGATCATAACAACACAGTTAAAATTGCCCCATTTCTGTAAATGAGGACCGCCTGCCACCTGTGCAACCTAGCACTTCCCTACCTGGCACTGTCCAATGAAATCAAAGGATTCATATGCATAAAAACACTCAGATAAATTACACTACATAACGAAGGCTTAAAGAGCTTATATAACAGCCCTAAATTACTGCACATCAAAAGAGACTTTGGCATACTGCATGCTTTGTACAGTCAACAGATAAAAAATTGCATCACACTAGATGGCAGGCAGGTGTTTGCAACAGAGATAAGAGAGTTTTCAAAACTAAACATTCAACAGTGGCCAAGGTGCATGTGCACCCACGCAGAGCCCTCTTAAGTAAAAAGTTAAATGTATGCCAGATTGAGACATGCTGACTGCTGCAAATTGCTTGCCTTCCTCTTTCGGGGATCAAGGCCACATTCAAGGAAGAGTTTGGATAAAAGCGATACATGCAAGGATGGTAGGTGAGGGCTACTCGCTAACCCATTAAAGGTTAAGCATGGCAAGATAAACCAATCTCAGTGGTAGATGTCTTCTGAGGGCTGCCTTCAGCACTGCCTCTGCTTTCTAAGAAAGCATCAGGACACGAGGGCGGGCAGATAAGAAGAGACCATGGCCACTTACCCTGGGACTGTGCTACTTACTCAGGAAGCCTCCTCTACTTATGGTCCTGAGTGAAACGTGTACAGGAGGTTCTAGCAACTGCCTTTTAGTATTACAGTATCTACTCTGCTAAGCTCCAGAGTTGGTTTCATCTTTGTGCTAGATAGAATTCCTACCTTAGGTAATCCCAGCACTCAGAAGACTAAGGCAAGATAAGTGAGGACACCCTTGGATAAACACAAAGACTCTATCTTAATTAGTACTTTAGAAAAAGGAACTCTATATGGAAAAAGCAAAGACCCTCAGGATAGTGACTCCCTGGGGAGAAAAGAAGGGAATGAAGGAGAACAGGAGTGTTGGACTGGATTGTTTATAAAACAGAGGTTGAAAAATATGGGTTAAAATATTAATATTCGTTGTTTATGGCTGGTGGGGGTACATGGAGATCTGCCACCTTTATGAATATCTACTTGTTCTTTTAAACTTTTCTATATGTCAACAGCACTTTATAATATGATGGAGCAAAATGTGAACAAAAGGGAAATATAAAAGATGCAAAAAAAAAAAAAAAAAAAAAAAAAAAAGACAGATTCATACCAAAGCATCCATATAGGTAGCAAAAGTCCTGTCATGTAGCAGCCAAAGAATACAATAAATACACATGCACTCCCAGGGATGCTCAAATCTAAGATGGCATACTCTAAAGTTAAAGATATATCAGCATATTTTCTCCTGGCCAAGTAAAAACACAAGGTCATGGGCAAAGCTGTGCTGAGGAATATACAGTACGATTTAATGGCATCTGTGTTTGTTCATCTCAATGAAAGCCAGATGCCAGGAAGTCAGGAACATAGCAGCTTCATTTTCAGTGCTGAAGCAAAGCTGGCTTGAACTATAAGTGACATGGAAGTCCACATTTCTGCCCAGGGTTCAAGAACCATTCCCAGGACTTAGGCTTACAGGAAGCACAGCTGTGGTCACAAGTGAAAATTCAAACACAGGATCTTTTCTCCTGCATCCTTTACCAAATTGTTCATTTCAACACATTGAGAGCCACATTTTCCAGGTATCTGTCTCAATAAATGCATATCATAAGATTGTTATATTAGGTACATTACTAGTACACCAACTTTCTGGAGACATTTTGCTATCTAGCCCCAGATCAAAAGAAAAAAATCCTAATAATGTCACAGACACAGCACACTATTCGTGGAGAGATACAGATACTTTGCTGCCTTCATATAACATTTCCCTAAAACTTAAATTCAGATAATGCTCATCAAAGTCTGGGTTTCTGTATCAGAGGACCTGGCAATAATGAGCCTTTGCTGTTTCCTAACTTAAGATAAGAAGTAGTTGTTCAATTTAAAAGGCCTGCCCATCACAGCTCTCCCTACTCCTTACCACCCACAATCGTAAGAATCACCAGTTCACACTGACTGTCCTATTGTTATCTATCAGTAGGGTGATTCTGGTGCTGCAACTTGGAAGCACCAGAATGGAATAGAATTGTTATACAACAAGATTAGAAGGAGCAGACAGCCAGGGGTGATGGTGTTTACCTTTAATCCTAACAATAAAGAGGCAGAGGCAAGTGGATCTCTGAGTTCCAGGATAGCCTGGTCTACATAGAGAATTCCAGGTCAATCAGAGTTACACAGTGAGACCTGTCTGAAAGCAGATAGGAGGAGGGACTTAATTCCAGACTATGAAGTTGCATATAGGAATGACAAGGGGAGACAATAGGATGAACCAGAAGTTGCCCCCTGCCTTCAGCAATTGTTTGCTATGCTGGTGGCTTCCCATAGCCCATGAGAATCATGACTGAACAACACTCAGCAGGGCTTAAGAGGGAGCTGTCCCTGTCCCGGTAGTGCCTAAGACACTCAGAGCATCACTGATCTGTTTTTGATGCAATGTCTTTACCACCCATGTCTAGCCACAGGAATTCTTTTCAACTTGCTAATCAGGCAGTCAGACATGGTATGCCCAAACTCCATCAAGAAAACGAAGCAACACATGGCCTTTTATAAGCCAGGGAGAAAACTGACTATGGCTAAAAACTAAATATGCTTCATCCAGAAAGAAGAAATTACACATCATTACAAAACAACATATACAGTAGATACACAGAGAAGGAATACTCGTTAACCAATCCAAGAAAATATCCATGTTTATATCAGATAAAATGTCCAAGAAATAACAGTAATTGACTCCCCATTGTCACATAGACACACAAATATACGTACATACCCATAGAACACACTTATATGCATATACATAGCCAATTATGAAAACACCTGGGATATAGTATCACTACATGCACACTGCATTAAAAAGAAAAAGGAAAACATTGAGTGAGAATTTACTGAGTCCACACTACATCAGTGTAAGGCATATCTTGTCTTGTTATCAACCCTGTTTTCCTGACCAGAAGTGCCAAGCTCCATGTCCTTATTAATGTCTGCAGTTTCCAGAAACATTTTATAATCTGAAGAGTCTTTTTTTTCTTTCTGAGAATTACAGGCTCATTGGTAGAAAAAAATAAAGGCCACATTCATTGGCGATTTCCACAAATTGGCCTTTTCCTCCCACAGATGGAAAAGAAGAATGTAAACACTCACCGCAGAGAGCTGGCTCCATGTGGATCTCAGTGGCTTATGGTGAATCACAATCTTTTCCTCTGGCTTCTGTTCTTTGGGCTCTGATTCTTCATCAGAGTCGATATCTAGGGCTTTTTCTTTGTAGTTTTGATACAGCACTGCATTTTCTTCAAAAAAAAAAAAAAAAACAAGTCAGATATGTCACTGATTGCCCCCAATAGCCATGCTACTTCCTCTAAACAAAGGTATGCATCTATACAATGTTTAGTACTGACTTAAGTAATAGCTGGAAAAAACAAATATATTTTATCACAAGAAATATATGACATTCCAACTAAAGCAAATGTCTCTGACCACTATCATGAAAGATGGTCAGCCTCACCCCTCACCCATTATAATTCAGGTTAAATTAAATCCATGTTATGTTTTCTTCAATGTCTATCATTTATCCATTCAATTATCTATTTAGCAAACATCTAATGTACACTTATAATGTTTTATTTTTCTAAAAATAAGGAAAAAGATACTTCTTATCCCTTCATGAACCAATAAGTTAGTAAAAAAGAATGAACTTCATATTCATGCATTTATTCATCCAACTGACATTTAGGAAACGTCTAGTAGATGCCAGCAACTGCTAAGCAACTAGGAATACAGTGGACAAAAAAAGATAAGAAATCTCAACATTCATGAAGCCGACATAAAATGAAGGAGAACTGAAATAAGCAATTAACTTTCATAGTATTTCAAATACGGCCATGTTGTCATGGAGACAAACAAATGATGGAACGGGGTAGGAATTCTGGGATAAAAGTAAGTTCATTTTTAAGAGGGTGGTTTAGAAAGGCCTCAAAAGACATAAGTAAGACAAGACTTACTTATTTGTACATCTAGAGAAATAGGTGTGTGTGTGTGTGTGTGTGTGTGTGTGTGTGTATTACACAGGCATGCAACAGCATACCTGAGAAGACAATTTCTGGTGTCTGTCTATACTGTATACCTTGTTTGCCACAGGCTCTCTGTCACAACTGCACATACCAGCTCACCACAGATGTGCTCTACAGCACAAACCTGGCTTTATGTGGATTTGGGTAATACAAACGTATTTCTTCATGTTTGTGCTGCAAGCACTTTATCTGCTGAGCCACCTCCCCAGCCCTTGAGAAAATATTTCAGGTGAGTGAAAAACAAGTACAAATACCTTGGGGACCGGAGTCTGTATGTACTCCCTGTGTGGTGGAGTACCAGCAGAGGGCTGGAATCACAGAAGGTGAGAGGTGAGTGAGTGAGGGCAGGTCATGTTGGGCCTTAGTGAAGGGTTGAGGGCACATGATGTCACATAAATACAAGTGACAAAAGGGAAGACGTGTGTGGAGTTGCAATGACAGAACTGCCAGAGTGTGACACAGTCTGGAGGTCAGAGAGGTATCAGTGAGGAAGATCTAAGCTCTAAAAGTAGAAAAGCAACAGAGCTCAGGGAAACAGCAGCCAACACACTCTGAAGCAAGAAGAAATATAAACAAACCTTATAGAGAAGTTTCTACACCCTGACAAGCCTCTCTGCCAAGGCAGCAATCCAAATCAGACCAACACAAACCGAACTTAAAAAGCCCACATTTAATGGATACAGCACTCTGGGATGGCCTTCCAGTCCCCCAGAAAGGAGACAGGAAAGGGAGACCAGAAAAACCACCAGTCCCTTTTCTGGGGACTGGTTTAAATGCCTTGTGGGAGTGGTCTTGAGCATCTCTAGGGGAGGGACCATCATTTGGTGGACTTTCTGAGATGCAGCAGGGTTTCGGGGGAAGAAGGGGAAGAGGGCTTAGATGGAATTTCCACCATAACATTCCAGACTCTTTGGGTATATGGATGCCAGGGACTGGGGTGAAGCTTCCTCCTTAACACTTAGGAGGTTCAGTGAAGGTCAAGGCAGTTGTACCAGCTGGGTGTGTACAATGCAAGATGTGTTTATAGAGATGAGCCACATAATTCAAATCTAAATTATCCAAATAAAAAGAATTAGATTTTATCTTGAGTTCAAAAGGATTTGGTTTCTTTCACACTGTAATGATTGTATTTTATCTGGAATGTAAGGTAACCCACCAGAAACAGATTTGCTTCAATGGGTCAGTCAAACACTAGCTATTCAGGCAGCTAAGTTGGATGGCAGTAGAGTAGCCACTGATAGATAGGTAAAGAGACCAGAGCTGTGACACTCAGAACAGACTGGTGACAGACTGGATATGCGGGAGAGAGAAGTAAGTTTTAAGCTTTCAAAACCTTCTAATTATACAGGTAGAAAGCAGGACAGGACCATCAGAAGAGTCTCGGGCATGATGGGGAAAAGTCTGAGTTTGGTATATAGGGCTTAGGAGCTTAGAAACACTTTTCCCACATCTGCTTTTTCTCTTGGCAACCACATATCTTTGTGTGTAGTGTGTCTACAGTAGCCTGCAGAGTCAATGCAAGACTTTACTGTTCTGTGGTTGTTCTACATATGAAAGTAAGTAAGTCAAACTTGGTTTTGGCAGTTATAAAGTATTTCCTAGGGTGGAGGACACACAAAGCATATGCATAGCACCATTGATGCGATTCCTCACTCATTCTCACAAAAGAATGGGCTACGGTCGTATCACTCTCACTTCACGCATGAGACGGTGCTCAGTGTTGCACAGTCCTTGTGGCTCGGTCACTCAGTCGATGACTAGAAACATCAAGAACCTGGCGCTACAAGTTCTCACCACTGGACAGCACTGCCTTACAGGTGCATTCTTCAAGGCCATTAACTGTTAAGGATCTTGCATTCTTCACTTACATGTGTCAAAAAAGGATGCCTATTGGACAAAACAGCCCTACAGACTACAGCTAGGATATCTGAATCTTCTTCGAATCCCCCAAGACAGCGCCCCTTACCAGCAGGAAGTAGTTTGGAAAGAACGACACCCAAATTCCCAAATATTGTGTATAAATGTTTGTTTTCATTTAATTGGACTTTGTTATATAAAATTAAATAAAAAAATTATATAAAAAATTAAAAAAAAAGGATGCCTACACCACCACGTATAAGGATAGACAAGACACTCAGAAACAGCGGATCAAGGAGATACAACTGCCTCTTCTGACTTTAAAACACTCAAAATTCCCAACCCTTAAAGGCATAAACAGAATCCAGCTCAAACTCCAAGATGCAAAAAGCATCCTCTGAAGGAAATATGAAGTGGAGCATTGTTGGCGTCAGTCATACAATAAATAGTCCAGGAACAGCAGTTCATGAAGAAGCAGCCAGCCCTAAGTCCCAGAGTAGGTGTCCCCAGAGGTGTCATAGGAGGCGAGTCACGGATTCTCAGAGCTTCTGATTCTCCCACTTACAAAATCAAGGAGATGTATTTATCCCAAATAGTCAAACTACCTTATCTGGGTTTCTTCCCCAAAACTTGTGCAATTAGTACAATGACTTCATTGATTACCCATTAGGAGTTATGCAGGAACTATTTTACAATCACCCAAATTACATATTTTAAATCTACATGGCTTTCCTTTTAGCTTTTCTTGTGGAAGGGAATACTTCCCTTCATTATTCCTTTAAGGGTGGAACTCGGCCTCTTAAAAGCATGACAGAGAGTAAACCCACCCACTCACTATCTCCAGGAGCCTCAGGGGAAGAAGGCCCAGGCTGCCCCTTTGTGCTGCTCCAGTTGGCTGACATCTGACCCATCTATTTACAGAGTCTACTAATCTGATTAGCATGTGAACACCTGGCTGGAGCCGCTTGTGCCTTTGAAATCCTTCACAACAAATAAAACACAGGTCACAAATTCTCAAGATTGTTCTTTCCACCAGAAAAGCTGCATTTCCTCAAAGGTGAAAACAGGATGTCAGAAGTGAAAAATCGAAGGTGAAAATAATAAGAAAGAAAAAAAAAAAATGTAACCTAAGAATAAAACAGAGCCTGCTCTGCTTTGAGGCAGGTGGGGATGGAGCCAAAGCAAAGAAGAATGAAGCTCCTAAGATGTAAACTGAGAAAGTTACCAGCTTATAAAAACAATGCCCCCTATGACAAAAACCTTAGCTTAGCTTAGCGAACCCAGCTTTGCACTGTATAGTCCAAGACAAAGTTGAGCAATTTTGTGTTTTCATCTCAAGTGTCTTTGTTGCTGCAGTTAGGTTTGAACTTATAATTGATGTGCCATATTGAAACTGCAATAAAACTCTGGAAAATTAAATGCTTACCTTCCCCATCAAATGTTCCTTGTCCTTTCAGCATTTTTTTCTAAGAGACAAGAAATGAAAGAAAAAGGAGAGAGAGAAAAGTAAATTATGTATGAATATTATGTATGAATGAGCCAAATAGAAAACACAACTATTGTAAGTAAATGCCCCATTTTGTTATATCCTTCAGATTTCCAAAAGCACACTGCAGAGAGTTCCCATGCCAATTCACAGCAACAATGAAATAAAATGTACAGCATCCCCCACATCCTCTTAAAGCAGACTAAGAATCCTCAAATGACCAGCAGTTCCACACATTTCACTGTCACTGTTAAAGTGAACTTTGCTATCTTTGACAGCTGTGTGTGTAGGGGGGGTGCATAAAATGTTATGTAATGTCTTTTCTTTAAGACCATATGTCTAAAATGAAACAGGCTTGTTTGTGTATTACATATTTGACATAGATATAGACTGGTTCCAGTTCTCTGATTAATCAAGAAAGAAAAAAAAAAAAATGTGACTGCCAAAGGCAATCTTTGCCCTATTGCTAAGGTCTGTCTTATGTCTAAGAAAGTGGCACATACTCCAAAAACACTGCTCTGTAGTTGTCTTTTTTCCTTTAGGTTCCTGTGGGGGAAAAATATTCAGTAAGTGCAACTGCTAGGCCTGTATCAGTGTATAATACCTCACACCCTCACTCTAGTTACAAGCTACTAGTTTGTCAAATACACTCAATGATTAATAGTAATAAAATATAAACAAGGGACATGGTGACTAAAACAAAAGAAGTCAGAGCACTGTTCCAGGATTTGGGTACTGATTTAAACTCATTTTACTTGAATGTTATCAAACGTGCCATGATCATTCAAAATATGTCCCGAAAAAGTTCACTTTGAGTTTACTGAATGGCATGTGAGCTTGCCCAGTCCTACCTTTATCCTTCCCAGGCTGGAGAACTTCTCCTTGTCTTCCATCACTACCTTCAGAACAGGCTGGGACATTCTGTTCTTCTTCTTTGAGCTGGTGGGGCTGTCAAAATCAAAGCCACTGACCACTGCCCTTCGGTAAGAAGTGGATCGCAAGCCTCGACGCAGAGAGCCGGGGCTGTCCATGTCGTTGTCGACTTCGCCTTCCTCCCCTTCCTGGCTCAGGGGTGCTCCCAGTCCTTCCACCATGCTGCGCACCTTGAGGAGCCTCCTATGGGGCTCTACGTTTTGACTGTTGGATTTACTCAGCTTAATTTCCGAGGCAAGGCTTTTTGGGATGATCTGCTGCTTTCCCATCTTGAGGGCGGCGGGGCTGTTGGTACTCAAAACCACAGAAGGGTTCGGGAGCTCATTCCCTTGGGAGGGCAACCTTTGGAGCGGCAGTTTCTGTTCTGAAGACTTGTGTTGGGTAGTAGGAGAGAGTCTCAAGGGGCCGGGCTCCAAGTCCCTAGCCGTCTGACCAGTTCGTGAAGCTGGGCCAGGTGAGTCGTTTTTAAGGACAAGGCCATTGGCAATGGGAGAAGATACTTTACTAGCAGTTACCCCATTGAGGTTCTCCTCGGAGTCGTATGAGGCAGGAGCGTCCGGAGTCGGCGAAGCGCACGACAGAGCCGCCGGCGAGGCCACCGTGCCATTAGTGGGGGACTTCAGAGAGCCGCCCGACGCCTCGTGAAGAACTAGGGGTGACTTGGGTCGTCGAAGTCGAGGAGAAGCAGCCCTATAGTCCGGGGACAGCGTGCGACCATTGGTCACCGGCCTCCGAAGCGCGCACAGAAGCTGGGGGCTCCTGGACACTGTCCTGCCGTCTGGGACGGCGGACACGCAGGCGGGAGTCTGCGGCGTAGGCAGAGAGACCAGCTCCTCCACCGGGAAGTCAGTGATCAACAGCCCGCTGGGGCTTTGGTAGGACTGTGGCCGCGGCTTGCTACGGCCGAGGAGCTGGAGAGGAGGGGTGGACCTTCTCCGCCACAAAGGGGTGACGCCGTTGCTGGAAAAATCCACCTCGCTTTCGCTGTCCATGGCGGGGCCTTGGGGCCGGCCCCGGGAGAAGGAGAGCTGATCAGGTTGCCTAAGAGGAAGGAACTTTGGCTCCGTACAACTGGTCTCGTCCGGGAGCCCAGCCGGCTCCCAGCTTGGCAGTCACACGGGTGTCGCGCGGGACTCGGCAGCGTCGCACTTACCCGCCCTTTCTCGGGCAGAGCGCCTTCCGCCACACTGAGCGACCGCGGACTGAGATCCGAGCTGCAGCCGATCGGAGAAATCTGGTCCTCCCTGCGTCCTTCCCGCGCCCAAAGCCCGCCGGCACCTAGAAAGCCCGCCACCCACTCGCACGGGGTAGCCGACCCGCAGGACACTTGGGAAGAGTTCAGCTGGCGCGGACAGCTCGCCGCGGGACGCTCTCCGGCGTCTCTATTCAGCAGCCCGCCCCATGCCACTCTACCGGGTCCCAGCTGCACGGCCCACCGGCGCGCTCACCCTTCCCGGTGCCCAGAGCGCAGAGCAAGGAGTGCTCCCAGCCCGGTGGGTGGCCTGGGTCTGCACCGCAGCGCCCTGGAAACTGCCGCGCTCCGCGCAACAGCGGCCCGCGGCGCCGGCTCCGCCCCCACACTAGAGCCACCCCCTCTTGGCCCCGCCCCTGTAGCCCAGGAATCTTGAGGAGTCCGGGAGTCTGTCTCCTCCCCCCACACCCTGCCCCACTTTCCCCGCCTCCACCGAGTGCGCTCTGGTCTCTGCCTGGAGGACGCGCGCACCTGAGCTGGGTGCCTAGACGCAAGTACTGGGGTGCCTGAGCGCAGGCGGCTGCCGCAGGGGCCAGCTGGAGGGCGCGGTCGCGCCCCGGAGCACAGCGTGGGAACGATCGTGAGAGCTTTGCCAAGATGTACTTTCTGATCTCCGAGCTCGGGAGGAGGAGGTTGGAATGGTTAAACCAGGTCCGAGCCCGAGCGAGCGTGGTGCTGCGCTACTTGGAATGGTGAACCTCTTTGGAAAGTGCTGCTGCGCCACCAGTGACCTTCAAACTGAATCCCCCTCCCCTGTTTACAGTGCTGTGCGGACTATAGGCGGAAGTACTTGTGAGCACTCAGAGGGAAACTTGCTGGGAGGCCAGGTGGAATTGATTGCATAATCTTTGGACCTTGTGTGTTTGAAAGTTACACAGTAAAAGTAAACAAAATACAAAATATGTATGAGTGCGCAATTGTGTATAATATAAACAGAAAAAGGATGTGTAGAATAAAATAGAGTACAAGGAGTGAGTTCCAAATCCTTGTCAGAGATTAAGAGGCAGATTAGAGGTAGGCCTACCCCTACAGCCCAGACTCCTCTCTAGCTATACTTAGCCAACCCAAGTCTACATCCTTAAAGCTTTCACTTTCTTGGCTTCTGGGTTGTCACTGGATCACAAAGGCCTCCAGATTAAGAACATACACTACTCTTTATTCTGCCAAACCACCTGGTCTCTTTCTTTTCCACACTAATCAAAATTTGTAACTCTGCATGCACACATATGTTTATGTGTTAGTGCTTAATCTATTCTGCCTTTGCATTCTAATCCTGAAGAAGAAGGGGTCATGTCTGTGGTCCATGCACACAGTAGATGATAAATATCTGTTGAGTAAGTGAGTGAATGAATGTGAGAAATGAGCATTCCTCCCTTAGCTGTTGTTGCCAAGTTGATGATGTCTTGGTGAAAGTCCTGGTATGTAAGAATAATGAGGCAACCTGAGATGAGAGATGATCTGAGAGAGAGGTTGATTAGACCTGTAGAATTGGTTGTTAGCAAGATACATGGGAGTCTCCTAGCTTTCAGCATCCATGTGAGAACCCAAAGTTTACAAATCATGTGTGGTTCTGCTTTGGGTTGTGAAAGGAAGGGTGATGTTTGTCATGTTTCTTTATACTTTTCTACACTTCCCAAAGCTGTACAGCAAAGATCTGAGAAAGTTTTATGAGCTAGAAGAAATGGCATCAAAATGTTTACCAAAATATTTTTAATGAGAAATTTACCAACAATTCCATATGAAATAAAGCAGAGTCTGTCTTCATATATAGGCCCGTAATATAGGGACTTTTTGTATCAATAATATTAGTTTTCTGTAATAAAATATGTTTAATTTCAGAAAGTATGGAAATTGATAAATGGAAGGTTGGATATGGATAAGAATAAAATCTGTAATCAAAGTTAAAATGCTGTCAGTAATGACATGAGAAATTGGCATCTTTGCAAATTATGTTGGTTCTTCAGTTGTGACTTTATGAAGTCCAAGATTCTGCTTCCGTCTTCCTGAGCAACAGCCTAATCCCCAAACAGCAGTGAAACACCAAATGCTGTTCTTTCACTGGGAACACACAGACTAAGCATGTATTTTAGCCTCCACTTAATTTATTGTATACTTTCAAGTCTAAGAAATAATCAATTGGTTGCCAAGCTAATAACTCATTAAAATATGACATAGTATAGTGTTATGGAATTCTTTATACTTACTGAGAAAATACTTCTGGTTTGCTTAGACAAATTTTAGTGCCACGCACATATAAAAAGTATAAAAATATAAGCAGAGTAAGTTAGCTGGAGTTTTGGACAGCAAGCCTATTTCTTTAGAACACTTTTATTTTCACACAACTATTAATATGTGTGGCTTTTCCCCTACAAAATAGCAACAATAATAGAGTATTTCTTAAGAGCATGTTGTAGTCTTGTGTCTGGAAATTTTCTTTACAGTGAGCATATTGCAAATCTGTTGCCTTCATTATTCTCTGATTAAAACACAGGATGTTTTTATTCAGTATAATTATATGGTCTGTGTGTGTGTGTGTGTTATTCACAAATACAGAGGCAGTGACAACTGTATTGTCATCACAGTAACTTTATCAATAGATACTTTTTTGATATCAAGAAAATTTCCTGTTTCAGAGAAATTAGAAAGTGTGACTAAATACTCTTTAAAACTGGAATAAAAGAGTGCATGAGCAATGTGGTTTGTTAGTATATTCAAAGGCCATATTAAATTGCTAGAATATCCGATGGCATACTGAAGGATATATTTGCCTTTATTGTTGTATTTGACACAATAACTTAACTTATTTAAAATGTGCTATGTTGATTAGACTTAATACCTTCGTTGGTATGTCCATGTATTTTTAATTGATTTAGCTACACTTTCCACAGATACTTATTGGGTGCAGTTATAAGTGAAGTAGTGAGTCAGGTCTGCTTGAAGGTTGCAAGTTGTCTCAAGTGCCTGAAACATCAAAACGACAGGAGAAAACACTCAAATTCAGTAAGATTTGCAGAAACCTCCCAGTTCTATGGAAACCTCTGTCAAGGGCCAAAATATTTCAAGGTGGAAAAGACAGAATGGACTTCTGAAAGATGTTCCAATGTGAGCAAAATGTGGGACAGTGACTAGATTGCCAACATTTCTTAAGTGCCAACTAGATGCTAAGCTACTATACAGATCTGATTCTCATTTAGAATTCTGTTTGGAAGATACATAGGGCAGCCAAGTGTGGCTACCTCATAGAGACTGAGAGGGAAGGATGTGGGTGTTTTGGGGCCCAGGGAAGACAAAGGAGCATGCTGCTCCTCTTTGTTCCTTTACTGGGGATGCCCCCCAGGTAGCTGCAGCACACACCTACAGAATTTCAGTAGCTGCCAAATCAGAGTCTGCCAGTCACCAGAACAATACCATACACAGGTGCTGTGGATTGAGGAGTAAGCTAAGTATGGGGGTGGAGGGTGGAGAGAATTCCTAATTCCTTTGAAGATCCTGGTGTTTAAAACTCCAAATTAAGAATTTAGGAATTCTAATCCTTTTTGCAGTGGGTCTGGATCCATCTCTGGAATGCAGGGCACTGCAGGGAAGGAGGATGTGCATACCCAGGCATCTTGCAATGGGTGTTGATCTCTAAGTACATTTGAATATGCATACACCAGATCCCTGTACTGCCCTCAGTGCACAGGTAAGCATGTGTGTGTGCCCAACATAGAAAACCCTTCTGTTCCCCAAGCTGTCCATCCACTTAATGTCAAGGGCTTTCTGAACAGTTTGTACAGTGCTCACAGTCCTAAGGAGTAGGCAGAATTGTCCTTCTGATTTCTAAGTCTCTGATTTGGACCTTTCTGATACACATAAAAATCAGACATGATCTGAACAAGTGGGAGCTCACAGACCGGATAGCTGGGGAACCTGCATAGGACTGAACTAAGCCCCCTGAAAATGGACGTGAGTTGTGGGACTTGGGCAGTCTGTGGGACCACTGGCAGTGGAACCAGCATTTTTCCCTAGTGCACGAATGGGCTTTTTGGAGCTCATTATCCATGGAGGGACACTCTCCCAGCCTAGTCACAGGGGGGAAGGGGTAGGTCCTGCCCCAAATGATGTGACAGACTTTGATGATCCCCCCCAGGGGAGGCTTCATCTTCCCCAAGGAGTGGATGGGGGAGGGAGGGTGAGATGGGGAGATGGGGGTGGGGAATGAGAGGGAGAGGGAACTGGGATTGGTATGTAAAATAAGATTGTTTTTAATTTAAATAAAAAAATTAATTAAAAATATCAGACATAATACCTGGCTATTAAACAATGTCAATTTAGATTAAGCAAGATAAAGAATTATCAGTTGAAGTTGGTGGGGAGTCTCTATAACATGGACCATCAGGAGAAGGAAAATTCAAAACTGTTTTCGAGGGGTTTAGCAATGCAGTGATTTCAATTCATATGGGGACAAGACCCAGCCCTCTTTCTTTACCCCTATCCAGCAATATGGGCTTGGCAAAGGACAACCTGGCTTTTCAGAAATACTTAGGATTCAGTTATGATCCTAGGAACGATAATGAAGACCTCTGCAATGGTTATTTATATTCTCTGTCTGTTTCTCTGTGTGTGTGTCTCTGTGTCTATAACTCTGTTTCTCTGTCTGTCTGTCTATCTGACCCACACTAGATATATAATGCTGTAAATATAAATTGTGTGGAATGGTTCCTTCCTATATGGGACTGATCTTGTCATTGTGCCAGGTCACTGCCTGCCTCCTACCCCAGGGACACAGCCAAACTAGAAAAACAGCATGGTTGAGGAGGAGGCTATGTGAAAGTTGAACTTGAAGAGGAGTTCTTTCTGCTGTCTTCAGTACTGTGAAGGAATTAGGAGGCAGAGACCAGGCCTGGGTCATCTCTCATCGACTATGTGCAGAATCCTTTAGCTTGGCAGTCAGACCTCTGCTGCTGTGAGCACTCCCATCACACCCCCCATAAGGGGCAGTCGTTTTTATGTAGGTCCCTTTGGACCTTTTTTGACAGCAAGAACTGTCCTATTGTTAGATAAAATCTGCCCATAGGGAATAGGATATGGGATGGGAAGTGACAGCCACATATAAATTCTGCCCTCTA